TGGTCTCCATCTCTTTCATGTCCTGATAGAATCTCTCTTCCTGTTCATCCTCATTGATCCCAAATTCTCAGCAAACTGATCCATATGTGAAGATAAATAATGCATTTTGATGCTCCTGTTGCAGCTGAGGTTTCTGAAAGCAGTCGGCATATTGATGACAAGTTCTGCGGAGTTCCCAGCCTTGTTATTGCCAAGAAAGTTCTTCACAACCTGAACAAAAGCATTCTATGCTTCCAGTTCCAGTTTGTACACTGAGTTTTCAAACTCAGGATATCTGATGAGCTGACAGATTTGAGGACCATCAAATGTATGACAGCTTTCAAATTCTCCATCATCAATTTCTGGAAAAGCCTGGCACAAGTAAGTGGAGCAACCACTATCCTTGTCCAGAGCTTTGGTGAACTGCTTGATCAAGCTCAGCTTGATGTGCAACAGTGGGAAAAATATCCTATCTCTGTCCACTAGAGGCTTATTGATGACGTTTTTTTTTTTTTGGCTCTGCAAAGCATCAGTTCCTCCCCAACAGGCCAGTTATTTTTCGTGTAATGCTGAGCAATGTTCCTACTATCTCACATGCACAGAAAACAGGGATACTTGGTGAACCTTGACTGTTGTCCCAACAAAAACGTCAACATCTTCAGGTCAACACGAATAAACCACTCATGCTGATCATAAAGAATTTTCTCCAGAACTTGTTTCACTGCTTCATATTTCTCCTTCAGTGTAGTCGAGTGAACGAAGGGTACAGAGGCAAATTGGTTGCCATTGTGCAGCAGAATGCTTTTCAGTGATCACTTGACACTATCAATAAACAGTCTCCAGTCTTTGGGTTTCTACTGTGGCAATCCAATTTTGTGCAGAAGCTGCACAATATCTGTACAGTACACCAAGTCCTTTTCTTCAGAGAAAAAAAAATGGAGTTACTCTTGATGCCTGTTGTGGTAGAAGGTGATGTGAGCACTGTCAGAGAGGAGTTGTTTTTTTTTCCCTTCAATCTAGATGCCAACAGTTTGGCAGAGGACTTTGAGAAGCTGAGATTTTGAATGAGATCATTTAATTC